CCCCCCAAAAAAAAAACCAAAAATACTCACTTGGCCTCTTTCTCATGCTCCTGACAAACATCAACGATCTGCAGAATGTTATGATTAGCAGACAGCGAAAGTGACCCAATATTCAGTTGTGTGTAATCAGTGAGATACTCCTCAGCAAGATTTCTGACCTCCTTGGGCCAAGTGGCTGACCACATGAGTACCTGCCTATCAGGCCTAATCTGTTCAATGATCTTCCTGATCTGTGGCTCGAATCCCATATCCAGCATGCGATCAGCCTCGTCGAGAACGAGATAAGTGCACCTCCTGAGATTGGTGGTGCCACGTTCGAGGAAGTCAATGAGACGTCCAGGTGTGGCAATGACAATTTCCACCCCTCGTTCGAGGTCTCGTGCCTGTCCACCCTTGGGTGCACCACCAAAGATGCAGGTGTTCCTGACATAAGAGAGCGATCCAAAGTCCTGTGCAACAGTCTGAATCTGCTGAGCTAGCTCCCTAGTGGGTGCAAGGACCAGAGCAATGGGCCCATCTCCACGATTGAGTGGCTGTTGGCTGTTGATGTGAACAATAGCTGGAAGAATGTACCCCAGAGTCTTTCCAGATCCTGTCTGCGCAATTCCAACCATATTGCCCCCTGACATGGCAATGGGCCATCCTTGAGCCTGAATAGCCGTTGGCTCTGAAAATCCCTGCTTCCTTATCCCCTGCATCACGTAGTCAGGGAAATTGCCCTCCTCGAAGTACTGAATTGGATTGGGAATCTTCTCGCCCTTCAGGGTTATCTGCTTCTCGCCACGATAAGCCTCGACCTCACGGGGATGTCTGTTGGCAACATCTGCGTGGGGCACGTAGAACTCCTTCTTGAAAGGCTTGAGATTCTCGTAATCCCAATTTGGCTTACGAAGATTGCCTCCAGCACCTCCACTTCTGCCTCCCTTCATGTTTCCGCCACGATTTCCAAACCGATTGTTGGAGCCGGCGTTACCACCGCGGCTGCCACCGAATCTATTTCCACCACCACCACCACCACCACCACCACCACCGCCGCCATAACTGTTGCGGGGGGGACCGCCACGCTGACCTCCGCCTCCACCCGCGCGGTAACCGCCACCAGCACCTCCACCGGATGAACCTCCGTAAGTCCTGGAGATTGAGAATGCAGTTGTGATTATTGAGGGGTTGAGGGGGCTTGGGNACCACCACCACCGCCGCCATAACTGTTGCGGGGGGGACCGCCACGCTGACCTCCGCCTCCACCCGCGCGGTAACCGCCACCAGCACCTCCACCGGATGAACCTCCGTAAGTCCTGGAGATTGAGAATGCAGTTGTGATTATTGAGGGGTTGAGGGGGCCTGGGAAATTCATATCGAGAGCTTTGGGGTATTGATTTTGGGGGCAGGGAGTTGTTGGAGGGAGGAGTGGTGGGGGGGCTGATATCGATTTTTGTGGGGTAAACACGGGGGAGGGGCTCTAGTAGTGAAGCGGCGAAACGTCAGCAGTGAAGAATATAAGTTTGGTACAGACCGCACTATTGATTCAACCATTTTCAATCATCAAATTTGTCAATTAGCGTGAGAAAAATTTGAACAAAATCATGAATATGCAGTGTCATTCAAATTACATTTTGCACAGAATTATAATTTTTTTAAACATTCGTTGTTTATAAATAAATAATTGAAATTGTTTAATCTTTCGGAAACCTCATTTTTTAGGCATGGAATCGATTTCTAGGAAAATGCTGAATATGAACAAATTTGTTACGATTCCGAACAAATAATTTTTATGGTGGAAAATTGATTGTTTATAAATTATTTAGAAAAAATGCTCGTAATTAAAAAAAAATGCAATTTTTTAATTATTTCATCAATCTTTCTCCAAAAGTAAACTTTCTAATTCTTTTTTCAGATTTTTAAAATGTTTTCTAACGGTAAAATATCGAGATTCAAATTCAGACCTGCAAAATTTGTAAAATGTCCGGAAACTTGGGGTCAAATGGGGCTCAAATGAAAGCTCTCATGTTCGACTACAAAAGTAGAAAAGCATTTCACTGGAGAAAAATAGCCAAAGTACTTGGATATCCTCATGTGGCTATGTAACTTGGACGGCTGTTACCTTCAGAGTAGAAAATTTCAATACAATTTTTTTGTAGGGTGAACCGATCATTTTTGAAAAATCAAATTCTTAAGGTCACTTTTGAAATATTGAGTTCTGGGTCCGCCCGAACTCGGTTTTTTCATCTTATGAGAAAGCGGTTCTTACGATAATCTTAAGAAACTAATCCGTGATAGATTGATGAATTCCGAATACGCTGAACTTTTTGGAAAATTTTGTACTACATAGTTTCAACTCTACAATATGGAAATTTCGTGAAAGCATTTTTTATTTAATTCAAAAACTTAATTAACAAATATTTTATTTTATTCAAACAGTTATTGTTGCCTGCATCAACAACACATGAGAATAGAAAAACTCAAGAACTTATGATAATTAAATAAAGTAAGTTATTTAGAATTTTTTCCAGAAATCCATAGAAATTAACTTTTGGGTGCGATTGTGTTGGAATATACCTCAAGACTCACAATTTTGCACGCCTTTTGAATTAGTGCGTGTACAGAAAAATATTCTATATTATATTATAATATAATAATAATAATAATTATATTAATATGATAGAAGATAATAATGTATTATATTATTGTTATTATATTGTAATAATAATATATTTGGGGAAATGATATCGAGTTGTGGGATATTGATTTAAGGAGAAGTGGAGGGGGTGTGGAACTAGGGTTAGATTGATATAGATTTTTTCAGAAAAAAAAATAAATGTCTAGTAAATATGAAAATGGGAAAAATTTCCCCGAAAATGTCGTGGCTCTAAAATAAAGTCTACAAATTTTTCAAGAAAAATATTTGTTGCGAACTTTGAGAGACGAGATCCAGACGTAAATGTGTGGACACCGAAGGCATATAGTTCGTAAAATTGTTCTACCTCCCACAAGCATTCATGCTCTGTCGATGTAACAAAACAGAGGCATGCCAAAATGAGAGGAAAATGTTTCAGTGTTTCAAGAGCGATTTCAAGACAAATACAATAGTGTAAACAGGTCAATTACTGAATGATTTCGATTTCTATTAAATATTGGGTAAATAATAAAATGAGAATTGTACTGACAATTTCCTCAATTCTAATTTTGATCAATCAGAGTGCGGTATTCGGAGTCACGTGACGCGTTTCACACTGATAATTTCCCCGGCTGCAGGGAAATTATCAGACTGATAATTTTCCTGTAGCCTGTCAATTGTTTTCTACGAATTCGATAGATATTTCTCACATTTTGGTGAAATGTGTCCCGTAACCCCGAAATTGTCCTCCGAATACCCCTCGACCTTCAAAATTCATCGGATATTTCCCTCAAGTTTTCCTGCATATCAACGATCGGAATCAGTTTTGCTGTAAAATAGCTCGCGCTGCGCGCTCGAGATTTTAGTCTGAAGAACTGATCCCTCTCGTTGCTATGCAACAAAACATTCGGGAAGTATTCGATAATTTTCAAGGTCTTGGGGTATTATAGCTGATTATTTCACCTTTCCATAATATTAGTCGTACTAGCGCCGCCGCGGCCGCGAAGTTGATGCCCTTCCGTTATGCTTTTTTCCATTTCTTCCATTCATTTCGTTCTTTTCCAAAGATTAATTATTCATCATTATTCTTATTGTGTTGAGATTGATGGAACCAATGCATGTTATTTCTTCACATGTTCAATTTCAATATTTCAATAAGTGATTTTTCTTTTTTTTTCTATGAAATTCGAAGATTTTGTAGAATTGTCAGGAAAATTTCGAAGAATTTCTCGATTTTTTATCAATTATTTTCTCCTCCCTTATTGCAGTCAATACTTAGAAAGAGGTTCATTGCTTTCTTGAATTTCTATTTTGAATTCTTTGAAATGTTTTGAATGTTTTGAAATCCGCGCCCTTTTCCCTACCAATTGGTCATGAAAATGGATCTTCATAGTTCCCATTTGAGTTCCGAATCCGACTTTTGGAGTATCGATTTTCATTCGAGTGCTTATTCGACATTTTGGTGCCTCTCTCTTATTATATAAAAAAGTTCCTAATATTCGTTCCTTGTTCTTTATTATTTTTCCATTGCGTGCCCAGCTTCAATCATCGGTTTCATCCCCTCCATGCGCCCGAGCGTTGCGACACATGCGAATCGACTTTTCATACAATCGATTCTCATTCGAGTATTCATTCGAGATTTTTTCGCCTCTCTATTACTATATAGGATATATATTATATAGGAAATTATATAGGATATAATCGAGTATAATGTGATAAATTATTTGTTCAATCATCACCATTTAATAAATAAAAAAAATACGGCCCAGTCGTCCAGAAATTAGGGGTTTCAGCTACATTCAACTATTTCTCAATTTAATTAGGGGTGGTTGGGGTAAAACGGACACTTGACTTTTTGTTCAAAGTTAATGAGGGGTTGAAATGTTGATAAAATTTAATAATTTTTTTTTTTAATACAAAGAGCAATTCTTTCCCTTTGTGACGAGCCTAAACTGAGCTCAATTGATACATTTGTTTGAGTTATGAATAATTTTAAAAAAGTCTAGTGTCCATTTTACCCCACCCCAATAGGGGAATATTCTGGTTTATTTCAAATTCAAAATTTTTTTCTGCAAATGATGGCTTCCATATCTGCAAGGTTTTAACCTTCTTGAAGATGTGGATGCCATCATATCCCCATTTATGTGATTCTTTTGTTTTAGATCCCACCACGAAAATTGAATTTCCCTCAATACAAAATATCAAATGTTAAAAAAAACGAAGGAATTCCTATTTAGAAATTCGATGTTCTCCCAACCGTCCAGCATTGCCCTGTTCACTCAACTCATTGTCAGTGGCACGAATAATTTTTTTCTTTCCTTTCACAAGCGATTCGTCACGCAACCTGATTCGATAAAACAACGCCTGCGATATAACGCGTAATGGCGTCGTAAATTTCTCAGAAAGGAAGCGAGGCATCCTGACGCTTTCCTTTCCCAGTCTGGATCGTATTTACCAACCACATTCCCACGAATCCGACGAAAAATGTTTCTCCATGCGATGAACAATTGAAATAATTGGAATTTAATTATTCTTTAATTTGTACTCACATAATTGCGGATGGGATGTACTGCTTTTCAGTCCCTGAACTCAGAGTTGATGGACGAATTTGAGCTGTTGAATAGCGGCAAAGGTGACTGAAATCATCCCAAGACAAATAATAAACGTCAATTCAACGATTGGGGCCTCATTCGACGGGGATCAGCGCAAAAATTGGAGGAATAACGGGCGAAATTTGTGACGAAATAATCGGAAGAACAAGATGGACACAACTTACCCGTGCCGCTGTTAGGGACGGAAAGAACGTTGCTGGGTGATGCCGGAAGTCAGTCGATTCAGAGGGCGAGGGTGGGGGAAGGAAAAGGTGAGGGGGCCGACGCCCATTGGCTGCCGCTGACGTTCACGCAGGCAACACGCGCTCGAGTAATGATTTTTCCTGAAAGCCTTCATCCTCACGGATGGCGAGGACACTGCGCATGCGTAGGGCCAGCAAACGTCGGAACTACGATTGCTAGATTGTTGAAATGTTGATTATTTTTGGGGAAAATTGTTGAGTCGATTTTTGAAATTCGGGAAATGAATTTTGGACGGATTTTTGGGAGGCGTTGGGAGGTTTTTTTGAGCTGTTGGGGCAGTTGGGGTTTTGATGTCGGAGTCTTCACTGTTGCCATGTTGAGTCTGGGGCGCGCGCTGACATTCGAATTTTCTAGAAAGCTCGGGGGGTTCGACCTGTAAGGACTTGGGATCGATATGAGACTTGATATGATATTCTGCCTTCGTTTGTCCCGCAGACGCTTAAAATATTGAAAACAGTCCAGGGCCTCTAATTTTTGTTTTTTTTTTTAATTTTTGAAAACTCGTGTGATAACAACTACGAATTAGTTTTTTGAAATTTGACTCCTACACAGCTAATTTCGTTTTGTTTAATAAGAAAATATGCGCCATTCATGTAAAACAGGCAGAAAGATTATCCTTAAGGATGTTCGACACCCTTTTAGCCAAAATTGACGTTGTTTTCATTTTTCTCGCAAATTATCGAAGGGAGTGACGTGACAAAATATAACGATTTTGTGGTTTGTCATTCTTTAATGGCTCACGAAGTTGCGTAGTGGTGCGATAATTTTCATGCGTTTTTTCTACAGTTTTGTGATTCTTTTTAAAAGTTTAGAGAAAACGCAGGAAAATGTTCGCACCACCTTAAAATTTCGTCAGTCATTAAATAATGACAAAACGCAAAAACGTTATATTTTTTCACGTCAATTCCATCATAAGTTTGCCAGAAAAATTTAAAAAAACGTGAATTTTGGCAGAAAGGGTGTAGAACATCCTTAAAGTATTAAAAATATATTCTCGATTCATTTTGGAATATTTTTCGGGCTATTTTACATAAATGGTGCAATTTTAAATTAAAATAATAACGAAATTAGTTGTGTAGAACTTCAAAAAAATAATTCGTGATTGTTATTGCACATATTTTTTCCACAACTTTGAAAAAAAAACCTCTGTAGCTCAAAAATTGGAGGCCCTGGACTATTTTTAAAATTTTGAGCGTTTGCGAGGTAAACGAACAATAAACATTAGCAATAAATTCTCGGTCCTCACGGGTGGCGAGGGACACTGCGCATGCCCGAGGTCAGCAAACGTCCGAATTACGATTGCTAGATTGTTGAAATGTTGATTATTTTTGGGGAAAATTGTTGAGTCGATTTTTGAAATTCGGGAAATGAATTTTGGAGGGATTTTTGGGAGGCGTTGGGAGGTTTTTTTGAGTTGTTGGGGCAGTTGGGGTTTCGATGTCAGTCTCCACTGTTGTCATGTTGAGACTGGGGCGCGCTGACATTCGAATTTTCTAGAAAGCTCGGGGGGGTCGACCACTGTAAGGACTTGGGATCGATATGAGACTTGATGTGATATTCTGCCTTCTAAATTCCGGATGTGGCGGAGGCAAATGCGCAGTTTGATTATTCTTCTCTTTTTCCGCATTTTATTTTACCTGATAAATGAGAAAATTCTTCAAGGGGAGACTACTATGAGTTTTAAAAGTCATGACATAATGGAGTGAGATCTCTCATGTATTAAAGATGGATTATATATGTCCAAAATCGAATAGTTAATGCAAAAAAAAATTGTTTATTGTTCGTTAGCCCCGTAGACGCTTAAGGTATTGAAAATAGGCCAGGGCGTCCAATTTTTCAGCTACGGAGGAAGATTTATGAAATCTAAAATTTGCAATTTTTCAAAATTACCAGCATTTTCTATAAATAATTGATGAACAATCAATTTTCCACAATAAAAATCATTCGTTCGGAATCGTAAAAAATTTATGCATATTCAGAATCCTACCATAAATCGATCCAATGCCTAAAAATAAAGTTTCCGAAAGTTTAAACAATTTCAATTATTTATTTACAAACAACGAATGTTTTAAAAATCATAATTCTGTAAAAAATGTCATTTTGATGACGCTGAATATTCATGATTAAAAAAAAATTCTCGCGCAATTTAATTGGCAATTTGATGATCGAAAATCCTGTAAAAAATACTTGGATATTCTTAAATAATTTGTATTAGATATTTTTTATTTAAAAAACCCGCCGTAAAGCTGCAGAGTTCATCAGTAGAATCGGCCAAAATCAATACAATTTTCAATAAAATCCAACGGAATTTTTCATGAAATTAGGGAACAGACAGGAGTATTAAATAACATAAATCCGATAAAGGTGCAATATGATTTTTCTTTATTTTATTCTCTATTCATAATACTGTATAACATACAAGAAATGCACTTTAGTGAAACCTACAGAAGAGAATCTGAATGTAGAGCAGTAATTTACCCATTTTGAAAATTACATTTTTTCTGTTACTTTTTCTCTTAAAAATTTTCTCCATGTTTAAATCAAATAATTATTCACCATTTTTATCATCAATCAAATATTATTCCTCTTCACATTCCTGGGGCCTTGTCGTAATTAACGAGTTTGTCTCCCTTTTATTTCTTTTAATCATACTTAAATCTTTGTTTCGTATTTTTCTTTAACCTCGAACGAAAAAAAAAACTTTTAATGACAGAAGGCGTTAACGAGACTACTTAAGGGGTTGCTCCTCCATCACATTTTTCAGGACTTTCTATCAACTTTAATTATTCATCATTTATTTTTCATTATCTCTCGTGAGAAATATTGGAGCAGTATGATATTTAATATCACTGTTATTAATCATTTTAATTAAATTCTCCCAAATAATGTCATGGTCAGAAAATAAATACGATTTTTTTCTCTATGTTTCATTAATTTTCATTAAATCCATTTTCCCCCACTTCCACTTTACCCTCATTTTTTAAATGTTAATTATTTTCTCATATCAACTGTAAAAACTATTCAATTGGAATAAACACTCGGCTAACGACCAGGGAACGGCTTCTTGGTACTCTCTCATTTTTCATCAATATGTTTTCTTTTTTTCAATAGTTTCAGTTAATATCACAAACTAGTATATCAATTATAAAACTTATACAAGCCTGCTAACTTCGCCCAATTATATTTCCTCCCATTGTTCGCGTTTTTCCCTACAATATCACTTTGTAAAAAAATCATTTCCCCCCCTCTGATGAACGAATAGTTACGTCTCTGCTTTATCTATCGCAATAACCCCCGTGTCAGTGATAAAGTAGTCCGTATTTATGATTTTGACTAGACTCTAGGATATTTTTTCCATCGATAAATGCGTTAATTAAAAAAAAAAAGTGTACCTGAATAAATTAATTGTGTCTATACTTGAGGAGTAAAAACGCCTCTCGATCAACATTTCCACTAATTATGATCTTTAATTATTTGTTTTATCAACAATTAGCCGGCGTGTCACATTCTCGAGAAAGGTAGGTGTTCATCACACAAAACTAACACGTTCATTTACTTTTTTCCAAAATTTTCTCATTACTCTATTCGAAAAACAGTGGAAAACGTGGAAAGTCAATTTTGAAATTTTTGGTAATTGTCGATTTACCTCGGCAACGAGTGGTTTTAGGAGGAAAAGTCACAAGATCTTTTTTGTAAAGAATTAAATTTCCGACGAAAAATGTCTCTTCACGTTTTACTCTAAAGCCACTCGTTCTCCAGATAATTCAAATTAACAGTGTGAAAATTTTGATTTTCACGTTTCACTCCTGAATTCAGGGATGACTTCAACAATTTCGTAATTTCATGAAAAAAAAAAAATGAATACGGAATTAACGCAACTGGGAATTAGCCGTTCCCACTCATCGGACGGCATTTTAGTACGATTCAATATAAAATATATCCCTCAGCACAATCAATGAATATACAAAATGTGTGTTATTATCGTTTTATCGACATTTCAACGCATGACGAAATAAACAAACGTTTTTTTCTCGGTTGTACCCGACAAAAATTCCAAATACACATTAAACGTTTATTCATTATTTTTCTCGTACTCCTGTATAAATTGGCGAAAGATCAGTCTTGTATAAAAAGGAGATTGTTTCAACATTTACCGTATGCACATTGACGATTTACAATTAATAAGAAAAAGAAAAAAAAGACACGTTTTAGTACGCAATATCACAGCGCTCAGTTATAATCAAGGTACTAGAAGTTCATAGTTCACCTCGTTTTTAGACATTTTGTTTTAATTAATCTAAAAAAATTTCGCCTCTCTCTCTCTTAACTCATTTGAATACCATATTCAATTATTTCTGAGTCGCGTGACGACGTAAATTAATTTTTTATCGATTGCAGGGTTCAATTTGATGACGAGAATGAAAGGAAATGTAAAATAGGACAGAATAAGAGTGCAACCACTTCGAGGTTTTTATTCCACAGAAAAGAGGAGGATCTTTGTTAATTCTGGAATTATCTCGGAAACTGCTGACATTAGGGAGAAATGTTATGGGACATTTTTTGTGGGGAATTGAATTTCCAACAAAAAATGTTCTCTGACATTTTCCCCTAAACCCACTCGTTAACGAGATAACTGAGAATTTTGAAAGATGAAATTTTCAGGTTTCTCAAATTTCCTGTAGAATCTTCAATGTTTTGATTCTCGTGATTAAAAAGATAAATATGCACTGGCGTTTAAACACTCTTCAACAAAACTCCCTATTGATAATATTGTTTATGTATATATACGTTATTTATTTACATAAATGGCAATTCTCGATTGATAAAAAGCACGCCTATCTTTCTCATCAATTGGCGACACGTTTTATTCATTTATAATTTTCACATTAAAAAATTTGTTCATCTCATTAATTAAATTTCTCATGCTACCTATTTTGTTCAAATGTGCGTGTGTCTCTTGCAGATGAAAAGAGTGTCTGATTTTAATTTGTTAACGAGCTTAAAAACCCTGACAAATTGGCAATTAGCATCGGACAAATGCCATTCCTCTCATCAATCACTGTATTCAATTAGTTTTTCTCTCTATTTTTTTTTTTCAAAAAAATAATTCAACTATTTCCTAACAATATTTACCTAACAGTCGGAGTTTGTTTTTCACAGTAAAGAGTATCAGTTAGCAGAGATCTCGTCGTTGCCCCGTTTATTCATAACTTTTGTCCACTACATTTTATTTATTTTTTCATTTAATTATTTTCATTGTAAATTAATTGATTCATTTGAATAATTCAACCATAAAAATCCCCTTCATATTTTTTTTCCTCAATTGGACCAATCAGTTGGGAGACTCACAAAACTGCCGTTCTCTCATCTCAATTTATTAATCCTTGTTATTTTTTTTTAATGACTTTTTATTCACTTGTTCAAGTCCCAAGTACGATGGAGCAAATTCATCGACTCTTTATTTTGTTTTAAACATGATATGGTATACCACATATATAAAAATGAGGCGAGATAAGTTTTTGTTTTCACATTTTTCCCCCCCTATTTTTAAATCCAATGTCGCGCATTAGAATTTAAATTTCTCATTTTTCTCCATAACTTTTTTTTTATTGTAGTTATCTCTCAGTGTTTTTTTTTCTATGCGCTACATTTTACATATCACAGAACTACGCGTTTACCCTCCGTTGTTATTAATTAATTAACGTTAATTAAGACGACGAAAGGCATACGCTAATGTACGGGAGCCTCCAGCTTTCCTTAAACCCTCAGTTTCCACTCTCCTTCCACCCACTTTCTCCTGAACGTTTTTTTCATCATTATTCAGAGAAAAAAAAAATTAATGAAATTTCTCATCGTCCGTCGATTTTACTTCGCGCGAATAAATTCAATGATTTATCATTAAAAGTGGCAAAATTATAAAATCATCTGGTATCATCTGTTCTCACATTTTTACCTGAGATTCAAATGTGTGCGTTTTCCCTTCATTTTAATTAATACATTATATTTATTCTGTTTGTTTCTTTAATTTAATTTATTTAAGACAAGAAGCTCGATCAGACGTGAGATGCGGATTGCGGAGGGCCGCAGAAAATATACACATGCAAAAAAAAACATTAGTTAAATACCGTTGGTCTCGGAGATCCTCGTTATGATAAGGCATTTGTTATCATTTATTTTGTGGTTTTGTTTCTCTCTTCTCTCTCATTTGTCCCTATTAAATATTAAATTAAAGCGCAGCGCCCGGCCGCTCAATAGCCGAAACAGCTAATTTTCTGTACTTCAAATGAGAAAAAAAGATCCATGAAAAACTGGTCATTACTAACACGAGCCATTTGAGACAGAGAAAAACGTAAATCGTAGGATTATTTAGTTTAATAGATTGCGCAAAGACGCCTAGTTTCGTAGTTATCTAAACACGGATTGGACAATTATCTTCACATTTCTCCTCCTACCGGTTCGTTTCTAATGATAATACATTAAAAATGAAAAAGAAAAAAAACATTGACAACCTAGGAGTCGTATTCAATTAAACTATCACATGAATGAAAGAAAAAAAGGATTATGGGATGAGAAATAGATTAATTTAGACGAATTTGAGAAAGAAAGAGAACTAAAAACAGGTACAATTAGGGAACTTTAGATTCTTTTTTTTTCTTCATTAATATTAAATATTTTCGGCCCACTCGATGCACGTGCCTGCACTTTGTGAGGGCCACTCGGTGGCCATTTGCATAAAATATAACATTTTCATGTTTTTTTTTCGCAATTTGTTGGTCTAACAACAAATTATTTTTAGTCTCTTCGCCTTGTGACATCTTTTTTTTTATCATTTTAACTTCATACAAAAATAAGGTACCGAGCTTTGCTATTGGTTTGCACAGCCATGCGGACTATGCGCCCATTTGAAACCCATTTATTGAAATTTCAATTAATTATTTCATTGGTTTTTTTCATTTATTTTGGAAATTATCGAGACACATCCAGTCTCGTCGCAATTAACCAACAGATTTTTCCAACTGTTTGGCTTTATTTTAAATTCTGTTTTGACTTCTTTGGGCGCAATGGGCTCTTTACTTACTTTTTTATGCAAAAGGCCTTAACGTTTTTTTTTTAATTTAATTTTTCATTAATTGTCTACTTGTTTCGTAGAGCGTCTTCAGCAGTGTTTTTCCCTTTATTCACGCAAAAAGTGTCTTCTCCATTTATTATTCTCTCTTAAATTTTTTTCTCATTTTCCCATTAAATTAAATTATAAATTATGAATTATCCTAACCCACCCCCCTTCTATACGTTTCGTGCATTTCAGAAAAGCATACAGATAGTTGTACATAATGATTACTTTGCAAAGAGATTACTATTCAATTAGCATTAAATGTAATTTTTTTTTTAATCTGACCAACATTTCAATTATACTCGTGGCCATATTTTAATCGATAATTATTTTATCTTCTCGTGTTTTATCATTTTCAATTATTAATATATTCTTCATTATACCAGTTGCTATTTTCATCGAGCTATTATCTACGTCAAAGACTCGACTGGAATGTGCCTCAAATTATTGGCGCATTATTCATTAACATTTTTCCCCCCATTTTATCAAATCCTCCCCAGCTCGATTAATCATAAATTGTACTCGAGAAATATGCTGTGCAATTTACCATGACAAAAGCCAAAAATACGAAAAAACAAAATCGATGATAAATTTCGCCAATGTCTCGCACCATTCCAGACAAAATAGCAGAAAAAAAATGAACCAAAAAAAGAAACGAGGAAAACTAAAACTATATGAGAATAATTCCTATCAATTACTGGACGAAACAGAAAAGAAAATTTGTAGTTCGTATATCTATCTATCCACGAACACTGAAAGAAAAATTCTCCAATTTCCATCAATAATATTTTTCAATGTGAAAATTGTTAATACGATTACACATATACGATATCAATACCTTGAATTTACCTCCTCTGACCCCAGAACAAAAAAATAAGACCCAAAAACCCCGATTTATTAATTTACCTCGATACCAGGATCATCTCACTGTTGAACAGGTGTTGGTGGATAAGGATATCCATAAGGTGGAACAGCCTGGAACTGTCCATAGCTCATGGACTGATAAGCACAGGCATTGGCAGTTGGTGGTGGTCTGTTAGTCTGGAAGAATTTGTTGTTAACAATACTCTGAATTCCAGAATCAGCATGTCCACCAGATGGCATGATGAATGGTGGTGGCATTGAGTACAGTCCCTGTCCATTCTGATTGCCAGGTGTTGGATAGCCATTCTGCCTTGGTGCTGAGTTCATACGACTGCCCTGATAGCCATTCGGACGATTCTGGTACCTCTGCTGTCCCTGATTACCCTGATAATTTGGATTGTTGCCATTCTGGTAGCCATTCTGATGGTATCCATTGTTCTGTCGTTGTTGTCCCTGATAATTATTCTGATAGCCCTGTACATTCCTCGGGACATAGCCATGCTGCCTGGGTATCATCTGTCGATCCTGTCCATTCTGCTGGTGATGCTGATAACTATTGCTATGATTATTATGCCATGTATTGCCAGTTGGACTGGAATTGCTCCTTGGGCTTGAGCTGTTCTCCTTGTTTGAGGGGCGAGCTGTGTTCCAGCGTTGACGTCCTTTGCCGAAATTACCCCTCTGGGAATTGGCCAAATCAGCCAGCTGAGGATTGATGACTTGTCCAGCCTCTTCGAGAACAGAAATCAGCTCCTTCGCCTGACGTGCGTTATTCGGGGTGAAGTAGGCGTAAGCTGTTCCAGCAGCCTGACAACGTCCAGTCCTCCCAATCCTGTGGATGTAGTCCTCTGAGCTGTTCGGATAATCAAAGTTAACGACGTACTTGACGTCCTCAACGTCGAGACCACGAGCTGCCACATCAGTGGCCACGAGAATCGAAGTCTTTCCATTTCTAAATTCTGACAGAACGAAGTCACGTTCTGGCTGGGATTTGTCACCGTGAATGGCAATGGCAGACCATCCCTCACGTTTTATGGCCTTAGTTATGTCGTCCACCTTCTTCTTGGTCTCGACAAAAATGATGGTCTTGTTGCCTCGTTCGCAGCCAATCTCACGGAGTAGTCCAGCGAGTTTGGACTCCTTCTCGTGCTCCTGACATATCTCGATGATCTGACGAATGTTGTGGTTGGCAGCGAGGGTAAGGGATCCAATGTTGATCTGGATGTAGTCGCTGAGGAAGTCCTCGGCAAGTGCTTGAACCTCTTTTGGCCACGTTGCAGACCACATGAGGACCTGACGGTCGGGGCGAATTTGCTCGATGATCTTTCTTATCTGGGGCTCGAAGCCCATGTCCAGCATGCGATCGGCCTCGTCCAATACCAAGTAAGTACATCTGCGCAGGTTTGTCGTTCCCTTCTCGAGGAAATCAATGAGTCTTCCTGGTGTTGCAATGCAGATCTCGACACCTCGCTCGAGGTCACGGGCCTGGGGACCCTTTGGGGAGCCACCGAAAATGCACGTGTTGCGAATGTGCGAGGTTGTGCCGAAATCACGTGCCACACTTTGGATCTGTTGGGCGAGCTCTCGAGTGGGAGCCAGGACCAGGACTATGGGGCCCTCTCCGCGAGTGAGACGGGGCTGATGGTTTATGTGAACTGTTGCGGGGAGAATGTAGGCTAGGGTCTTCCCTGAGCCTGTTTGGGCAATGCCCACCATGTCACGTCCACTGAGGGCTATTGGCCAGCCTTGGGCCTGGATTGCTGTTGGCTCCTGGAATCCCTGCTTGTGAATTTCCTGCATCACGTAGTCCGGGAAGTTACTCTCCTCGAATGCCTGGATGGGGTAGGGGGTGTTGTTCCCTTTCACTGTGATTTCCTTGCCGATGTGGTACTGCGTCACCTCGTCTGGGGTGCGGCTTCTGATGTTGGCATGGGGCACGTAGAGGTTCTTCGTTATTTGGGGGAGAGCTCCCATGTCCCACGAGGGCTTCTTCAGGGAATCACCTGGGCACTTCTTCTGGTTTGGATTCTTTTTCATGTTGTAGGTGTTCTGGGACTGGGGGTTCGGCTGGTGAGCCTGCTGATGGTGCTGCTGGCTGTTCCAGTACGTCCCACCCACGCCCCTGTTGCCATACTCCCTGTTTTGCCGGGGTCTGTAACTAAGGGGTGAAGATCAGTTGGCTTAGGGGGCGAGTTGTTGGGGGACTGTTGGGGTGGAACTTCCTCTTGTTAGGGTGTTGAGGGAGAAACTGGGTATTAGTTATGTGAAGAAACTCCAGTTGAGTCGTTGAGTGGTACGAGGAAAAATAAATTGAAAAAGCCAAAAAAACTAATTTTTCTCATGAATTCTGACTTTGAATTTCTTCTTAAATTATTTTTTTCAAACACGTCACTCGTTTGACTAGGGTGTTTCGACATAACACGGAATTTCGGGCACGCAGAAACGTAAATTATTTATTGCAAAAGTTTGACACTGAAGATAATTTGCATGTTGGACATAAAATTGTTATTCGTTTTTTCTGATTTTTCGATTTTTTTATAGATTTTAATAGTTTCCCTAAATTAAAAAAACAATCTTTTTCCTAATCTCGAAAATTTGATTTTCTCATTAAACTCTATGTTTGCACTTCCAGATTAATTATTACCAATAATATTAGACTGCTGGTTGAACTCAACCAGAATGCTTCTATTCGTATTAAGGCCCGGGTGTACAATCTTTTGAATGTTATCTGGAATTTTTTAATCTTTTGTACTCCAAAATTATCAATTGAGTGGTACATCATGTAGAAATTCTCAAAAATTTCGATAGAATAACAAAAAAAATAGAAAAAATTCTGAAAAACTNGAAAAAATTCTGAACTTTTTCAAAGAGCGTTTTTAATTGAGATTCAGAATGAGTTGAAAAAAGTGGAAATTACAAATATCTGATTCGCTGTGGCAAATTATCTATTAGCTGTCATTTTCCATGGTGGATAACAAAACACTAACTCCTCATGGGAAGTGACAGCTATCTCAAATTTCAAAACAGTGGTATGTAGTCATCTGCCATTTTTATGTGATAAAAGTGTGATTAAAAAATTCTCCAAAATATTACAACTTTTTTCAAAGAGCCTTTTCCGTAATAAATGTCTCTGTGCAGTGTGGGAAAAGATTTACGAAATCAGTCTTCCCCCTGCATGATATTGGGTGACAGGCCGCCATTTGTCACCGTAAGACAGATACATTTATCAATTTCTTGTTATTCAACTTATTCTGAATATAAATTAAAAATTCTCTTTGAAAAAATTAACAATTTTTTCTACTTTTTTTTTATTATTCATTCATAATTTTTCAAAACTTCTGCATGATACAGGACTTAATTGACAGTTTCAGATGACGAAAGATAAAAAAAACATCGAGATAACGTTCGAAAGATAGTACACCCGGGCCTTAACTTTTCTTTAGAATTTATTTAAGAGGCAATGGAACTCACCATCGAAGTAGAAATTGGATTCCCAGTTTTGTCGTCGTTAGACGAGTATTTAGCAAAACCCAAATTCATACATCATCAATAATCTTGATATCTATAGTGTAAGAATGTGGGTTTTGCTGAATAGTCGTCTGACGATGAATAAACTTGGAATCGAGTTTCTACTCCGATGATAAGTTCCATTGCTTCTTAAGATTTTAATCTTCAAAATTCAAGTTATGCTTATACTACTTTAAACTCCAGTTGAGTTGTTGACTGTAACACGCCATTTCGGACACGCAGAACTCTAAATTATTTATTACAAATGTTTGACACTGACGATAATTTTCATATTGGGAATAGAGTGTTTATTCGTTTTTTCTGACTTTTCGAGTTTTTCTAGATTTTAATTTTCTCGCTACCCTTGAGAAGTTCGTTTAAAGACTGTGTTATTTTTGTACTTTTAGATTAATTAGTAGCAGTAATACTAGACTGCCAATTGAGCACAACCTCAACCAGAATCTTTCCTTTCGTATTAACTTTTGGGTAGAATTTATTTTAGTTTTTAATCTTCAAAATTCAAGTTGTCTATACTACTTTAAGGGGATTTAGAGGATGAGCTGTGACAAACTTTTTTGGCGAGCGAAATAAAAAATACAAGGTAAGGTCTATAAAGATTTCGTTATTTCTCTTTAGTTCTGAGTTATTCGCTTGGGAACAATGAGGAGATTTGTGTGAGGACTTTCCTGTGGAGCCAACTTGCAGTTGAAAAATGGGGGGTTCTCATAGTCTGAATATTTTACCTCTATTTAATTATAGATATTAAAAAAATTAAGTCTAAGGGAAATTCATCAAAACCAATTTCAATTCCTAATCTAAGAGTTTCAAACTTTCGTAAAAAAAATTGATAAAGGATGAAACTCCCTCAGCTATAAAAACATCTCATTTGCTCATAAATTCAATTGTCATAAATCTCGTATCACAAATATGACAATCAATTTCCTTAATGAATTATTATTCCTTCAAAAACATACAAATGAGAGAAAAAGAATAAATGTTCATGAATAAACAAAAAATGGGGAAAATCTCTCATGAAAGGAGTTCCAGAACAGTGAAAGAGTCATTCAATGTCAACTTCTAATCTAATAGTTTCGAGCGTTCATGAGGAAAAATTCATAAGAGACAAAACTGCTCCGGCTCTAGAAAAAATCTCGAGACATTTGCCCATAGAATTCAATCCTCGTCAATCCCATACCACAATCCTGATAAAAATTTTATTGCCTTACACTTATTAAAAAATCGTAAAAATAAAAAAATTAAAAAAATTGTGTATAACAAATAACAACTGTAAAAAATCCCTCACAAAGGAAAATACTCGTATACTTTTTTATACTCCCTTATCAGTGAGAAGGAGCATAAAAAATCAACTGCAATGTTCTCGAAATGACTAGAACGAGAAAAAAAATCAGTTTCAACTTCTGATCTAATAGTTTCCAGCGTTCACAAGAAAAAATTTACAAATGACAATTTGCCCATAAAATTCACATGACAACAATTTTATTGCCTTGCACTTATTCGAAAATTAAAAAAAATTTAATTGTTCATAACAAGTAACAATTGTAAAAAATCCCTCACAAAAGGAGAACTCCCCCACCAGTGGGGAGCCTAAAAAATCAATCGCAATGTTCTCGAAACGACTAGAACAAACGAGCAAAAAAAATCAAAAAATCAGTTTCAACTTCTAATCTAATAGTTTCCAACGTTTACGAGAGAAAATTTACAAAAGATAATTTGCCCGTAGAATTCCCATGACAACACTTTTATTCCCTTCCCCTTATTCGAGAATAAAAAAAAATTGAATTGTTTATAACAAATAACAATTGTAAAAAATCTCACAAAAGGAGAACTATTTCGCCTGTGACCCTAAAAAATCAGTCGCAATGTTCTCGAAACGACTAGAACAAGCGAACGAAAAAAATCAAAAAATCAGTTTCAACTTCTAATCTAATAGTTTCAAACGTCCGTGAGGAAACTCCATAGGAGTCACAAAATGGCCGGTATCGTAGTGCCACAAACGAGACGACTCGGGCCGGCCATGACGGTAAAAGTCTCTCTCTCTCTCTCTCTCACCAGAAAAAAATCCATTCCATCAATCCCCCACAAAAATTCACTCCCAAATACTCACGAAGTTTGATTGGAATATCCGTTGCCATACATGATTGTACAGCTGAGTTCGCCCTTTTGTCGTAAAAAATCCGCTCCACCTGTTCTTTCAACTTTAAATACCGAAGTCACAACGACGTTCGCTCTCTTGTGCCCAATCAAACCTGAGAACAATGAGTTATCATTTTCGTACCCCAATTGCCCTTTTCGTCTTGTTTTACGACGTGTGTCGTGCCATTATTCATGGAAAATATCGTCGAACAGGATAATGGTGGCATGAATTACCAATTATTTCATTGATGGGTGATGGTGATAGTGCGATAAAAGTGGAAACTTACCCTGAAAACCCGGTACAGAGACGACAATGGCTAACAGGCGCTGGGAAGACGGAAACGGGCGACTGGGCAAAACCTCGCTGTTCCTCGCTATCCCCTCTCCACGATCGCTCTCGCCGCGGGGGGGGAGCGTCACGTGACGGACGTGGACCAATGGGAAGGGCCTGTTTACTGCGACGTTGCACATTCCCGAGGCATCCCCCGGTGATAAGCCCTCCAATCACCGAGCTCACTCTAAAAATCGATTCTACCTCGCACCTCGCTCCTCGCTCCCCAGGTAATACCTTTTGTTTTTATCGCTGGGGTATGTGCGGCTTTGTGCGTTGTGTATGTACGAGCAGGCACGAGTTGGGTTTTAAATCTCTTCGGAGATTTCGAGGTGAATGATTGGCATGTGTTACTTTCGGGGTTTACACCGAATTCTTGGCGGATTTTTCTGGTTTTCAGAGGGGTTCGAGGGGGCTGCGGGTTTTAGTTGCGGAGGGACGGGGCATCAGCCTCTGCACGGACGAAAAAATTTAATAGAGAAACCTATCGAATTCGTTAGAAAATTCTATGGAATTTCTAGTGAACTGTTATGTTTTTGGCCGATTCTGTTGAAATGGTCAATAGAAAATATTCAGTAGAAAAAGGCAGAATTCAATTTTTTTATATAACTTATTGAGTATTTTAATAGAATTTCCTCGGCTCAAATTTTCTAAGTTTTTTCGCTTGATTTTCTTGATGAGAAGAAAAGAAAAATAGAATGAAAAAAAATTAAAAAATTCCGACATTCCGAATAGACCGAATTCTTGGCGGATTTTTCTGGTTTTCAGAGGCGATCGAGGGGGCTGCGGGTTTTAGTTGCCGAGGGACGAGGCATCAGCCTCTGCACGGACGAAAAAATTTCATAGAGAAACCTATCGAATTCGTTAAAAAATTCTATGGAATTTCTAGTGAACTAGTTCTGTTGAACTGTTCTGTTTTTGGCCGATTCTATTGAAATGGTCAATAGAAAATATTCAGTAGAAAAAGGCAGAATTCAATTTTTCTATATAGGGGAGGTTGGGGTAAAATGGACACTTGACTTTTTTTCAAATGTTAACAGCTTGAAATGTTGATGAAATTCAATAGTTTTTTTTTCAATGCAAAGAACATTTCTTTCCCTTTGTAATGAGCCTAAACTGAGCTCAATTGATGAATTTGTTTCTGAGTTATGAGTAATTTAAAAAAAGTCCAAAGTGTCCATTTTACCCCATCCTCCCCTAACTTATTGAGATATTTTAATAGAATTTCCTCGGCTCAAATTTTCCAAGTTTTTTCGTTTGATTTTCTTGATGAGAAGAAAAGAAAAATAGAATGAAAAAAATTTAGAAAATTCGAGTCGAGCAAATTCTATAGAAAATATATGAAAAGAGTAAGTTATACAGAAAAATCGAATTCTGTTGACTTTTTCTATTGAATGTTTTCTATTGAACATGTCAATAGAATCAACCAAAAACTAATAGAAATTCAATAGAATTTTCTAACGGATTCGACAGGTATTTCTAGTAAATTTTTTCGTGCGTGTGTTCACTGAATTTGAGGAAAATTTGAAGAATAGGAAATCATGTGTGGAAAAATTGAATAGAAAAACTTAGCGAATTCGCTAGAAAATTATATTGGAATTCTCTAGAAATTGTATTGGGATTTTATAAAAATTCTACGGAATTCTTGTTAACATTCTTTTTTTTTGCGCTGATTCTGAGATATTTGATAGAAAAAAGTCAATAGATTTCGATTCTTCTATATTGTCTTGAAATATAGAAAATATTCCCTTGGAATTTTTTGTACAAGAATACTTGGGCATGGATTTTTTAATATCATTTTTTCCTGCAAAATGTGAAATTTATTTTGAGAGGAGGAAAGAAAATACCCCCAGGGTTACCACATTCTCCATTGCTCCCAGAACCTTTCCTGTGGAAGAAACTGAGTTCCAAAAGGAAAGTTTTCCTGAAAATGTTGATATTCTGTTTTAGATTCCAAGATATTCATAAAAAATTTACCTAAAGTTGAACTGACTTATCGGTTCCACTCCTCCACTACGCAATTAAAGGTCCTGAATTAAAATGAAAGACAATTGTTAAGCTAACGAATGTTTATTTGTTACAGTTTACATTAAATACTGTACATTGTTTCTCAATACGTGGGAATGGGTCACAAAAATTTATCTAGAAAAAAAATTATAATTCTCAAAAACAAATAAAAAGAGCAAAAGCGTAAATTTACATTGGAACTAAAATTTTTCCACTCCTTGGAAATTGGTTATCTTCATTTTCGGGTTGTCTTTGTTCGATACAAAATTATAATAATCAGGGACTTAGTTGATTATTGAGGCGGTGTGGTAAAATGAAGGGGATTCGTCGTTCATTGCCAGAGGGCAAGGATCCGTCGATTTTTTGTCTACATGATTTTTATTCAATTGTTCATTTTGTTCAGCTGATTTGATGGGAGAAATGCTCCATTGTTCTTGTTCTCTGTTATCTGGGGGTTCGTCGGGGCTCGAGGCATCACCTCTCGCTGCTCCAGTAGCTTTTGCCAATTACTTCTGAAAAAGAGAGCAGAATTATTCGTTGATCAAGTGGTTATCCAGCCAATGAGCAATTGGAAAAACCAACAATTGAATGATTTTTTAATATTTTTTCCAACTTCAGTCATTAATAAAAAATGATTATTAATAATGAGATAAATCAATAATTAATCAAGTGAATTATGTTAATTTGAATCATTAACAGATTTTTCCACGTAAATTCATTACAAGGTCACAATCAATTGTTTATGTTCGCTAAAATTAAATATTAATTGTAATTTGAAAAAAATAATGTAATTATTTCTCACATTTTTTCAATATAACTATTCGTTCATCAGATAATTATCCAGAAAATGAGTAATTGAAAAAACCAAGAATTCAATGTTTTTAAATATTTTTTTTCCAATTTCACTCATTAATAAACATTGATTATTGATAATGAGATGAATTAATATATAATAAAGTGAATTATGTTAATTTACCATAATTTAACGTAAGAATTTACTAAATGATCATAAAAATTTAAAACACAAAAACCTTTCTCTCCGTAAACATTCATTACATATTTAAACAATCATTGGTTCATGTTCTTTAAAATTATTTATGTTCTTTTAATTTAATTAAGAAGTAATTCAAGAGTATTCACCTGAAATTACGAGTTATAGACAATGTTAAAAACAATGAATTTATAACAGTCAAATTTGGAACTTCAATTGTTGATTAATATAATTACCAGGAGTAGGACTGATTGACCCCTTCCCAGCGCGATTGTTAGCTGGACTGCGACTTCTCGAGTAACTTCTACTGTAGCTTCTTCTCCCCCGGCCATTTCTCTCGCGACTGTAACTGCGACTCCGACTCCTGGAGTAACTTCGGTCTTTAGCGCCTCGAGGACCGCCTCTGATACGCCATCGATTCCTCCCACCTGAAGACAAAAAAAATTATTCGATCAGCTTATTGATCGCTCGCTCCCATTACGGCTGGACTGGAGTGGCACGGACGAAAAAATTTAATAGAAAAACCTATCGAATTCGTTAGAAAATTCTGTTTAATTTCTATTGAACTGTTCTATTAGTTTTTGGCCGAATCTACTGAAATGTTATATAGAAAATTTTCAGTAGAAAAAGTCAATAGAATTCAATTTTTCTGTATAACTTATTCTATTGAGATATTTTCTGTAGAATTTCCTCGGCTCAAATTTTCCAAGTTTTTTCGTTTGATTTTCTTGATGAGAAGAAAAGAAAAATAGAATGAAAAAAGCTTAGAAAATTTGAGTTGAGCAAATTCTATATAAAATATATGAAAAGAATAAGTTATATTAAAAAATCGAATTCTGTTGACTTTCTATTGAATGTTTTCTATTGAACATGTCAATAGAATCATCCAATAACTAATAGAAAGTTTAATAGAAATTTAATCGCATTTTCTAACGAATTCGCTAGGTTTTTCTATTAATTTTTTTCGTGCGTGGGGTGTGACTCATTACGGGTCGAACCAACAACTTCCCGACCAATTCCCATTTTTCAATTTATTAGAAAAAAAGCAAATTTTGACATTTCTATCCGAATTCCGAGTAAACGGCTGAGATAATTTTGCTCAGCATCCAATCAAAATCGAATGACATATAGATGCATCGATCGTACCATAAAAATCACATTTCATCACTATTCTCGGTAAAATTGTTGAATTTTTGAAACAAGTTGTATTATTTATTTATAAGAGGGAAATATTTGAAAAAATATCAATATTTTGCGAAATTTAATTTAGATAATACTGACTGGCTATGAATTTTTTCAATTTTTTCCCATGCAATTTAGTTGAAAAATTAAAAAACTGAAAATATCCAAAAGTACAGCGTAGCCCGCTCGAAGGGTAGAGCTACTTTAACCAGAACGTTTCTATTCATAGTAAATTACGTTTAGAATGCCTTTCAAATTTTAATCTTCAAAATTAAAGTTTATGCTACTTTAAGACCGAAACGTGAGATTGAAATTTTTTTAAAACTATGCAAGTTCCCTATTCTCTGAAACTCGCTAAAAATGTCGAAAAAAAATGCTCAGCACATTCTAATTACCTCTCTGACGTCCATAATTACTCCCCCGACTGTCCGCAAGCTCCAGTAGCTTCGGATTAATAACTTGGTTGGCCTCCTTGAGTACTTGAATCAGATCATTCGCTTTGTTGGAATTATTCGGTGTAAAAAACGTATACGCAGTTCCGGTCTTCTGTCTACGACCAGTACGTCCAATTCGATGTACATAGTCTTCAGAACACGATGGATAGTCAAAGTTTATAACAAACTTGACGTCTTCAACGTCTGAAATGTACAAAAATCAGTTACAAGAAAAATACCACTCAAACATACATCGTGTATTGTGTTTTGCATGTTTATCGAATAACTTTAATATCTCAGGAAAATTAATTTACTGTTATGACATCGCGTTCGCTTCCTATTCACATCACAAAGGGATCAATGCATTTCGATAATCAAAAGAATTTCAATCTCTTTAATTCATCAGTGGAATCATAAACTGCAGTCTCTCACAGAGACAATTTGAGAATCATAAATATTTTTCAAGACCACAGCTTACGACTTTATAATCTACTCTTTATTAAATTAAAAAACCAAAAGTGACATGAGAAAGACAAGAGTTTTCAAGTGAAATCGTAAAACGTGAGGTGTTGATATTCCATTTTTGCTGAGGATATGAGAGGAAAAAGCCCTTCAATGGAATGTACTTCCGAAACACTGCACTTTTGGAATTTTTTTCATCGCAACGGGCGATAAATTCCGTTTGATTGGGGGTTTTAAGGTTCAATGGAATGTAGTACGAGTGAAATAATCGATTAGCCAGAATAAACAATTAAGATGAGAATGCTTAGAGTTGATGCAAAACACCAATTTCGTAAATACACACAAGCAAAATAAATAGAACACTGCAATAAATCCATTTGATCATGACAAATGTGAAAAATTATGAAGTGTCCATTGCACCCCATCATCCCCTATCCCGTTGAAAGAGCCCAAAATTGAATTTCCCAAGAACCAACTTCAAATCAGAAGCCCTCCCATCTTCATATCCTCATTCACGCCTCTACCCCAAGAACAAGTGATTTCAGGAGAAAATGTCATACCAAAATGGCCTTTCGCAAATTCCCCTGAAGCCCCTCATCCCCAAGATGAACAGCAATACCAAAAATATTAAAAATCAGTACCAAAGCGGTAAAACGGTTCAAGTAGATTTTGACTATTGGCCAATTTTCAACGAATATCTCGAAATCTAGGGGAGGTAGCACAATTTTTGTCATCACCTTTTTTGTAGCCCTCAATTCGCTCTACAAAAAAGGTCATTATGAAAATTTCGTTATCTCCCTTAAATTCGGAGATATTCCCTGAAGATTCAGACAAGGGCTAAATCGACTTAAGGGGAAACGGAGCACTTGGGTATATGAACTTTTAGAATTGTGTTTTCTTCTACAATTATTATTTTTTATTTCTGAAACTACTTCATTGACTCAACAATGCAATGATCGAGTCGATAAAGTAGTTTCATAGCTAAAAATTGATAAATGTAGGAGAAAACACAATTTTAAAAATTCATTTAGACACAGGGGTTCTGTTTCCTCTTAAGGGGAGACTGCGGTGAGATTTGAAAGTCGCTGGGTATTATAGAGAGGATTGTAAAAGTTTATAATGTGTTGTAGGTGAAAAAAAAGAACTCCGAGATTTTCGGAAGGTTCTAAAGGGTCAAAACGAGTCAAAATCAACAAAAACGTCCTAGTGCCCCCATTCTCGACTGATTGAGCTGAAATTTGACTTACACACAGTTAAAATATGTATAAATATTGATTTTTTATATGTATTCATATTTTTTCACCCCAGTAGTACTCCCTAATTTGTTATAATGCGGGCGAAATCCAAGTAAATACTATTTTAATGAATTATGAATTCAAATTTCACCACGGGATCCTCTTGAGATAATCTGCATAACCCGAGAGAGTATACATCAGATGAATAAAATAAAGATAATACATCCCTTCATATACCAAAAGTCACCCAATGGCTCTTATACTAAGAAAAAAAGTTATTTTTACCAAATATCCATTTATTTGAGAGAAGTATTTATTTTTTTCAATACCGCATTTCTCCAGTCAAGTCATTCCTAGGCGATTCTCATTAGGCTTCAATTATGGCAATTATACTGCTCTAGAAGATGATAATGTTAGTTATGACCTTGAATGAACTCCCTCAATAATTATGAACTTTAAAGAATTAATCGAAATTCTTCGCTCTAGAAAATCAGAGATTTAGGAAAACTGAATAATCATTGGAGTTCATCCGAGGTCATGTGCAACATAGTCATCCTCTAGAGTAATATGATTGTCATAATTGAAACCCGATCAGGCTCGCTTGGGAATGACTCGATTGGAGAAATACGATTAAAAAGAAAAAATCGCTTCTTCAAGTAAATGAATATTTGGCAAAAATAGGGGAACGTGGGGCAAAATGAAACAGTCGAAAACCGACTGTTTGAGGCAATTCAAGTAGAAAAAGATTTTATTAACTGTTATCAACTTTTCGGTTATTAACTTTTTTTTATTATTAGCAGTACTGATGAGAATAATAAATTTCCATTCAGTAGAATGGAAAATTACTGAGAAGTTTTGACGCCAGAAGATTTTGCCAATGGACTCATTGAAAAGAAAATGAAACAGCAAAATCCAAACTCTGTGGATAAAATTAGTGAAAATTATAAATATTGTCGTCTCGATATATTGTAAGAAATATATGAAACACATTCGGGAGTTTCGAATGAGGAGAGAACATAGACTCAGTGATGACGAGGTCTTAGTTTGGCTCCTGAAGGGTCAGAAGGGGACAAGCAGAAGTTTTGAAAAATTATGAATGAATAATCAAAAAAAAGTAGAAAAAATTCTTATTTTTTTCAAAGAGCATTCTTAATCTATATTCAGAATAAGTTGAATAACAAGAAATTGAAAAATGTATCTGATTTACGTTAACATATGGCGGCCTGTCACCCAATATCATGCAGGGGGAAGACTGATTTCGTAAATCTTTTCCCACACTGCACAGAGACATTTATTACGGAAAAGGCTCTTTGAAAAAAGTTGTAATATTTTGGAGAATTTTTTAATCACCCTTTTATCACATAAAAATGTCAAATGACCACATACCACTGTTTTGAAAATTGAGATACCTAGCTGTCACTTCCCATGAGGAGTTAGTGTTTTGTTATCCACCATGGAAAATGACAGCTAATAGATAATTTGCAACTGCCAATCAGATATTTGTAATTTCCACTTTTTTCAACTCATTCTGAAGCCCAATTAAAAACGCTCTTTGAAAAAGTTCAGAATTTTTCCTATTTTTTTATATCATTCTATCATAATTTTTGAGAATTTCTACATGATGTACCACTCAATTAACAATTTTGGATTACGAAAGATTAAAAAAATCCAGATAACATTCGAAAGATAGTACACCCGGGCCTTAATCTCTCAGTACAAGGCCGAGCGGAGACTTTCAAATTTCCCCGCAGTCTCCCCTTGAACCGTTTTACCGCTTGGCTACTGAAATCAACTTGTTGAATGACGTTTTACCACTGGACTCTTGTCATTGGGACGAAAAAACAACATTGACCAATAACTAAAAACTAAACCATAGATAATGTGTAAAAATTTGATTGGACTATGTTATAGCATACTAAATAAATGTCATCGGGCGAATTGTCGTGAGCAACGTACGGATGGCAGTCGCCAGGCTGTATTCGATTTAGCTCAGGTATCCATCAGCCTCGGCGTGCCCAATAATAGGTTGCTAATTGCAACCCCGTGTGTTTGTGTGGTTGTGTTAGTGAGGGATGGGAAACCACATCTCCACCATCCCCCACCAGACCCCATCTCCCACGTACGAGTAGAGACCTGGTATAAATCCCATCTAAGCAACAACAATACGCCTTCAATTTTCGTATCTCTTTCACTTTTCTCTTTCTTTTTTCACAACGAGAACTGATGACAAACTATTCGAGTCTCGTTCTCAACTCCACAATTACCAAATGACCTTGATAATTGTATTGCATCGATGATAATTCCAGCTCAGATGATTTAGGGATGAAACACGTTCGTTATATTACCTTCTCTCTCGTCTCTATCCCGTTATCATTAATGCTTATCCAGAGGTATTATTTTCACCCAGTGGTGGCTGAACCACCCGGTTTGTGACACACATCACTCTCTCTCTCTCTCTCGCCCTATCTCTCGCGAAGGCAATTGGACGTGTATAGAGGCACGCGCAGCAGCCACCGCAGACAATGCAAACTTGATGTTCGGTTAAAGCCATTATCAATCGCCTTGGGAAGACAGATCGGGATGTTTAATGCGGGCGTATGGATAAAACACACCGCTAACAAAATCCCGTACACCCAGGATATGATTGTATTCTCAGTGGCAATTTATACTTTCGTAGTTTTGCATTAACCGGCGTGGGCCTGCGCGCAATGTGCCTCTGCAATCCAAAAGAAATATCCAACCGATTTAGGCTTAGCATATATTTACTTTATTGTTTAGACAGTGATGGGCATTACTGAGTACATTAGCACTCAAGTGCGTGATTAAAGTACTGAGGGGGAGGGAGATGTACTTAGTAATTAGTCCTCCTTAAGTACAAGTATTGAGGTACTTGATAATGGTTACAAACGACGGAAAAAAAAGATGTTTTCAGAAAAATCTAGTCGAGTAGAATTTAAAAACAAGTGGGAAACAGGGAGGGAGATCAATCATTAGATTACTAATATTAGGAGAAGTTGCAACTTAAAATAATTAAAATTTACCTGTCTTCATTGAAATTTGAGAAATAGTTGAATAATTGATGATCTAAATTTTTCAATTTACTGCGAATTAAATAATTGATCACATGGAATTGTCAATGAACTACTGAGTAAATAATTCTAAAATTTATAAAAAGATTTTGCTTCTCGAACAAGTCTAGGCTTGATTAAAATTTAAAAAAAAATGGGAAACAAGGCTGGAGATCAATTATTAGATTACTAATTTTAGGAGAAGTTGCAATTTAAAATAATTAAAATTTACCTGTCTTCATTAAAATTTGAGAAATAGTTGAATAATTGATGATCTAAATTTTTCAATTTACTACGAATTAAATAATTGATCATATGGAATTGTCAATGAACTACTGAGTAAATAATTCTAAAATTTATAAAAAGATTTTGCTTTAACCGAATAATCGTCAGTCTTCCAAATGAAATTATTGATTGACAAAATAATTCGGAATTTGAATATTTAATAATTGATGATTAATTTAATAATTAAAAAATTGTTGGGTAATATTAACCAATGAACTGATTGGAGAGAAAAAAAATATGTTCTTGAACAAGTCTAGTATTGAATAAAATTTAAAAACAAATGGGAAACAAGGATGGACATCAATTGTTAGATTACTAATATAAGAGAAGTTATGCCTTAAAATAATTAAAATTTACCTGTCTTCATTGAAATTTTAAGAAATAGTTGAATAATTGATGATCTAAATTTTTCAATTTACTACGAATTCAATAATTGATAATATGGAATTGTCAATGAATTACTGAGTAAATAATTCTAAAATTTATAAAAAGATTTTGCTTTAACCGAATAATTGTCAGTCTTCCAAATGAAATTATTGATTGACAAAATAATTCGGAATTTGAATATTTAATAATTGATGATTAATTCAATAATTTAAAATTGTTGGGTAATATTAACCAATGGACTAATTCAAGAGAAAAAAAAATGTGCTCAAATAAGTCTAGTCTTGAGTCAATTTAAAAACAAGTGGGAAACAGGGATGGAGATCAATCATTAGATTATTAATATTAAGAGAAGTTGCAACTTAATTATTAATTAATTAATTAATTAAATGATTAAGGTTCACATATCTTCATTGAAATTTGAGAAACAATAAAATAATTGGTAACATTTGGGAAATTATCAAGCACTGAATACTCTGGCACTTAGTGCTAAGACCGAGAGGATGGATTAATTCCTAAGAACATGTCAAATTAGTACTTAAGGATTTCACAGGTATCAAGTACTCGTGTACTTGAGGATCTGGGACTCTGTAAACCTTAATTTGCCCATCACTGATTTTACCCAATTTTTAGTTTTTATATTTACGTTCTTAAGATACCTTTTCCATATTCAGGTGTTATCAAATAAAAATAATGAAAGTATCAGTGAAGACATTATAAATTAATTGGAAGAATTGTCAAAATAAAAAAGAATCAGATTTTACCGATCTTTTTCTTGTGCTTTGAACCATAAAAATTGGATAGAAAAAATTGTAAAAATTACGTAATTGAGCTAAATGTAATAAATAGAAGTTTGTAAAAATTATTTTGGCTTACCTAGTCCTCGTGCTGCCACGTCAGTTGCAACGAGAATTGGAGCTTTACCAGACCTGAAATCTGATACGAAGGAAAATTATGGCCAATGGTTCTAATAATAAAGGTGAGTGAGGTGGGAATATTTTACCTTGTAATACCCAATCCCTCTCTTGCTGGGTCTTGTCACCGTGAATGCAGACAGCTGGCCAACCATCACGTTTCATTTTACGGTTTATTTCCTCGACCCTACGCTTTGTTTCGATAAATACAATTGTTTTGTTCTCCTGCTCGGCCATTATCTCCTTCAGGAGTGTACTGAGTCTGAACAGAAAATTTTATCCGTAAAATGTAAATTGTTTTTTATATCTGTTGATAGCAAGTGGTATAGAATCAATTGGAGAGTAACGAAATTATTTCTGTTTTCTTTTTATTCATTTTATTATTTGAGATAATTTTATTGTCGGGATCTGTTTTTTTTAATATTGTGGGATCCACGAGAGACAGAGAAATTTTTCGTAGAGGGCTTCTTTTGCAGAGCAGAATGAGAGTTACAAAAGAGGTTTTCATGATAACTAACATCTTCGTGGAAAGTGTACAATAGGTTTTTAATGTGATATCTAATTTTGCTGAGGGTAAAAAATAAATTTATCAAATTCTTGTTAAACATTTTCGAGTACCAATTCATTTCGCCCTCAAATTTTATCAGTAAAATGTAAACTGTTGTTGATATCTGTTGATAGCTAGCGGTATAGAATCAATTGGAGAGTAACGAAATTATTTCTGTCTTTTTAAATTCGTTTTATTATTTGAGATAATTTTTTTGTCGGGATCTGCTTTTTTTAATACTGTGGAATCCACGAGAGATAGAGAAATTTTTTGGAGTGTACTTCTTTAGCAGAGTAGAATAAAAGTTACAAAAAATGATTTTATGGTAATGAAAATCTTCGCTTTAAAATGGTGTGAACATGGAATTCAGTAGCACAGTAGTAAAACTGTTTAAGTTGTTTTTGACTATTGGTCAGTTTTCAATGAATATCTCGGAATCTAATGCAGATAGCAAAATTTTGTTGGAACCTTTTTCGCAGCTCTTAAGTCGCTCTACAAAAAAGGTAATGAGAAAAATTTCGTTATCTCCTTTAGATTCGGAGATATTCCTCAAAAACTAAGCTGAAGGCTGAATCATTAACTTGCATTTTCCTCCCTATTGGATTTATCTCTCAATATTATTGAAAAGCGCTCTTTGAACAGTGTTCAATTTTTTATTGTACAACCATAATTTTGGGAGACTCCAGGGCTGTGTAAAAGTGAATGGCAATTGAAGAAAATTTCAGATTATCAAAATCCTTTCTTAAAAAAATAACAGGCAATATCTGGAAGGAATGGAGAAAGTAAGGCGGTTTTCATGACTACATTCTAGAAAGAATTGAATTGTAGTTATGATTAGAATCTTATTCAGTGAACCTAGGGATTAGAACAAGAGCAAATCATTTATTGTAATATGAAAATTTAACAGCTGACACAGTGGGACACATGATTCTCATCGATCGTATTGCTTTTTGCAATGAGAATGATCATAAACAATTAATTGAAAAAACGAAAATCAAACAATTAACAGAGAAAAGGGCATCAAGTGGTGGCATTGGTAAAAAAAATTAAGATCACGTCCGAAGAATAATACGCGACCATTAAATAAAAAATCACTCACTTGTTCTCCTTCTCATACTCCGCACAGACGTCAATAATCTGCAGAATATTGTGATTGGCAGACAACTGGAGAGACCCAACATTGATCTGTGAATAATCCTTCAAGAAATCCTCAGCAAGATTCTTCACCTCCTTCGGCCAAGTGGCCGACCACATGAGTGTCTGCCTGTCAGGTCTGATCTGCTCGATGATTTTCCTTATCTGTGGCTCGAAGCCCATGTCCAGCATCCTGTCAGCCTCATCCAGCACCAAATACGTGCACCTCTTGAGGTTCGTCCTCCCAGACTCGAGGAAATCCAGCAGTCGTCCAGGGGTTGCGATCACAATCTCCACCCCACCATCGAGGTCACGTGCCTGCGCTCCCTTCGGTGCTCCACCGTACAAACAAGTGTTCCTGATGCCAGAGGTGTGGCCGAAGTCGTCAGCAACTTGCTGAATCTGTTGAGCTAGTTCACGAGTTGGAGCTAGCACAAGGGCGATTGGTCCGTCCTTGCGCCCTAATTTCGGTTGACTGTTTATGTGAACGATCGCTGGGAGAATGTAGGAGAGGGTCTTTCCAGAGCCTGTTGATGCTATTCCGACCATGTCACGACCACTCAGGGCTATCGGCCAGCCTTGGGCTTGAATTGATGTTGGCTCTTTGAATCCTTGTCTCCTGTAACAAAATGGATCAATTAATTGTGGGAAATTTCAGGGAACATTAAAATCTCTCGATCAATTTCCTCCAACTTTTGTTTCGACGACAGTCTCAAAATAATCCGTCCATAAATTCTTGATTCAACTCCTTTCACTACTTCACCGGAGTTGCAATCGGAATCCAGTAGCGAAGTGGTAAAAGGAAATAAGTCAATCTTCACTATTGACCAGTTTTCAATCCATATTTCACACTCTGAGGGAGATAGCAAAATTGTTGTTATAATCTTTTTTGTGGAGTCGATTGAGTGCTACAATAAATGTAATTATGAAAATTTCGCTATCTCCCTTAGATTCGGAAATATTCCTCCAAAACTCAACTGGGAGACAAGTCGACTTATGTCCGTTTACCACTTCACTACTGAATTGTGTAATTAGAATGTGGGGATTTAAGCCCCGAGTAATATTGGGAAATAAACCAAATAGGTAGAAAATTGAAAGTTAATAATTTGATTATCTAATGGCTGTTAGGTCGTCATTTGTCGCAGTAGTCAATGGCTGTCAGATTCTTAGTTACGAGATAAATAATCCATTCTCTATTTCCTCTCTATCGGAATTATTTCTTAATCTTTATTAAAAACGCTCTTCGAAAATGTTCAGTTTTTCTTCTACTCTTTTGATTGTACAACCATAATTTAGGGATTCCTGCGTGATGTAAAATCCAATAAAAATTGTGAAAATGGAAAAACAATCGAGATAACGTTCGAAAGATAATCCACCTGGGCTTTACATCCTGTGGACAAGGGCTCAATGCAAAGCATAACATGTGTCAAAAAATGAAGGGACTCCCTTGTGTGTAGTACGCCATTTTGTGAAGAAAATATTGGGCTGGCGTTGCAGTATGCCTCACCCACAACAAAGGTTCCTTATTTTCTTACACATTTGATGTTTTGCATTAAGACATTGGGTTGTGCGCTGTCTAAGAAATCGTAATCCTCACATTCTATAATTCAGACTTGTAAATGGTTAACTTGTTGTGTGCAGTTCAACAGATACAATTTAAGATAATTCAACAATAAATTAAACATTTACAAGTTTGAATTGTTCAATGTGTGATTCAAATTGCGAAATGGTTAATGGAATGGTACATTACATTTTCATGCAATTCAGTATGCAAACCGACTTCATTATGTATATAATAAGGTATTAGCTGTGTGAACTTGGAGTCGAAGTTTGATAAATCGATTTTTTTTCTTATAGTATCGATTGTACTCCGTGAGTACCTGAACGTACCACATTCATTTTCGTTTGTACCGCGCATCCCTAGACGTAAGGGGTGCGGAAAAAATCGTGCAGCGTCGGAAATGAAGGTACGGAAAAAATGTTCATTAGCAAGGATTCAGCATGGATAGTACTTGTATGTACTATATTTTTCCATTTCATTTATCAACCGCTTCAATACTTTACCCGCTTCTAAAATCTTAAATGTATGAAGGACGTCAGGAAAACATACAGATAGCTTATAAATCGTTAGTACTCGTTTGTACCAACGAAAATGATTCATTATTATTATT